CTTAACAACTGCATAGTATTACAAAATTTGATGAAATCATTCTTTAACTTTTAAAGTGTGTGAAAAAGTATGTGGATTTTACGTGAAATTTTATGCATTTAAAAATACATGTGTGTGGTTCAGAGTTTAGATAGAAGAAAGGAGTTTAGAGTCTGTCTTCTAGTCTCCACTCTGAAACAGCCCGTGTTACTAATTTCTGTCTTCCAGGCTCTGTTTGTTTTTTTTCATAACTGCGCTCTCTCTGTCTCTCTGTCTCTCTCTCTCTGCCCCCCTCTCTCTCACACACACGCACACACACAGTTTTTACATAGTCATCTGCATGGTTTTACCGTTTTTTCTTATTGTACCTTTGAGGTGACTCATACTAGTTGAATATATCAAAAGTGTCATTGATTCCAAGGCTGAGTGTTCTGTTGTGGATATGCTGTGAACTAGCCAGCCTGCTGTCTGTAGACACTTGAGTTAGAATACCTTTCTATTGGACCCTTAAGTATAGTTGGTTCATTGAAATTTGCTCCTTTCAGGTGAATCTCGGAGTGTGAGGCCAGCCTGGTCTACATAGCAAATTCCGTAGAGCAGCTAGGGTGGGTATGTATGTATGAATGTATGTACGTACATACGTACACTGTCTCAAGAAAAACAAAAGGGGGCTGGGCGATTAGCTCCTTCTTTTTATCTTTTATTTATTTTCCTTTTGAGACAAGGGTTGTCTGTGTGTCTCATTGGTCTTAAAGTTTTGGTCCTCCTGCTTCAGATGGGAATGCATATGACCCTTGTTTTTAAAGTATAAATCTGGGCCTTCAAGATGACTAGTGGGCAAAGGTGTTTGTGGTGCAAACCTGGCAATCCGAGTCCTATCCCTGGAATATTCATAAAGGTAGACAACCCAAGAGATACTGTAAGACACAAAACAGTGCTTAAGAGATTCTACCCTGAACCTGTGTGACCCCCACCCAGCGCAAGAAGTGTAGAACCTTTTCTGAATCTTTCCATTTGTAACATTCACAGTTGTCTGCTGTGGCTGATGGCGGCCCATCTGAGTTACAGTGTATTCCAACACAGTGCAGAGTAGCATTGTGCTTAATTTTTAAACACTACCCCTAAGCTTTTTCAGCAGTTTTAGACACCAAGGAGTAACCCAGAAGGGAAGATTCCAGGTAGGGAGCTGGATGGGTAACTCTCCTGTGCCTCCCGGCTTGTGAGGCTGGGGAATTGACTCTACTGTTAGGCAAATTTGAGATGATCTTTTGCACCAGATGATGGAGCTGTACCTTCACTGGTGGGAGGACTCTGGAAGTAGCTGGAGTCTGGCTTTCTGGAATGCATGTTTGCAGTGACCCTGGCTGATCCTGCCTGGAGGCTTTTGAGGTGCCGTTCTCTTCCTACTCATGTTCCTGCCAAATGAAGGCTTCTGACTGAGGTCATGATTAAGAGCCACCCGTGGATTGCAAAACAACATGATTTTAAAGTCCCTCCCTCCCTGCCTCCCTCCCGTTCTACTTTTTCCTTCTCTTCCTTCTCTTTCTTAATCTATAAGATCTATTGGGCTTTAATTTTAGGCTTCAAATGTCAATGCCTCCTCTAGAAAGCTTGAGCAAATTAAAAGCTTGCTTCTTTCAGAGTACTTTGCATTTCCTGTAAACCTCTCTAGAAAGTGGCATTGCCATACAAATTGTGCCTGATTTTTAGAAACAGAATATTCTATAGAAGTAATGAATTCCATCCTTCAGTTACTTTCAAATTTTTGTAATGCTACCTATAGAACTTAGTACATATATATGTGAAACTGAAGGTAAAGATTCTGGAATACCTTGCTATACCCTTTCTCCTTGAAGCATTTCTTCTAAGATATGCCCCATCCCCCACCAAGCCCCCCATCCCGGTTAATGCCTGACCTACACGTAGTATTGAGCTCTAGTTTTGTTTTTATTTTAGTCGGGGTTTCCATTCTCTTTAGTTCTAGGATTGCCAGCGTGCACCACCATTCCTTGCTAAACCTTTTTTCTTCGAGGCCACCCTGGTCTACAGAGGGAGTTCCAGGACAGGAAACGCATAATGTGTATGGTATGCATATGCTTCTAAGCATAGCCATGTTGCTAACATCACTACCCGTATGCTTTAGGCGCATCATTGGGTAAGATAAAGAAGCCTTGAACAAAATGCTGTGGTACCATAGCTGAGGAGCTAATGACACCTGGGAAAATTTAAGATACCAGTGGGTATGTAGAACATATGATTTCAATGTGCAAGATAAAGGTAGGATTCATATCTTGAAAGAACTGAAAAGAATTGTTTTTCTAGAACCTTTCCATTTTATATTTTCATTGTCGTTGACTGGTAGTAATCTTTAAAAAGCAATATATTTATCTATTTAATTTATTTTGTATGTGTGCATGTGGAGGTCAGAAGAAAACTTGTCAATCCTCTCCTTCCATCATGTGGGGCCCAGGGATCAAACTTAGGTCCTCAGCCTTGGTGACAGTGCCTTAATCTCAGATTCCACAGGCCTGCCTGGCAGTAATTAAAACTGGAAATTAAGGAAAAGAGTGACACACTCCTTTAATCCCAGCATTTGAAAGTTCCAGTTCAAGGCCAGGCTAGTCTACAGAGTGAGTTTAGGACAACTAGGGCTACACAAAGAAACCTTGTCTTGAAAAACAAAAAAACAAACAAGCAAACAAACAAACAAAAAGCTGGAAACAAAATCACTGGTTGGTTGGGGTCTACTGTGGTCCATACTGTTATTACTAAAAAAGAGCGTTGATTGTTTTTTGTTTTGTTTTTCTAGACAGGGTTTCTCTGTGTAACCCTGGCTGTTCTGGAACTCACTGTGTACTCCAGGCTGGTCTTGAACTCACAGTGATCTCACTATCTCTGCCTGGTCTACAGAGGGAGTTCCAGGACAGGCTCCAAAGCTACAGAGAAATTCTGTCTTGAAAAACAAAACAAAAAGAAAAAAGGAGTGTTGATTGAGGGCTGTTCAACTGCTTGCAGAATCCTTCATTGTGCAGTAAAGAAAGAAGTTCCAGGTTTCCTAGGGGAAGGGCTTGGTTTTGAGGTGTTAAGGGGAGAGGCAGACTCATCCTGATGTGGCTGAAGACATGGACTTTGGAGAGGCAGGAGGAAAGGCTAGAGGACATGCTCCTCTTTCATGCTTAAGTTCCTCCTGTCTTCCACTCTTCCCTTCATCCCTTCCCGTTTTAAAGAATTGCTAGTCGTTTTGTTTGTTTGGTCTCACCGAGGAGTTGGCTTGCCTGGAACTCACTATGTGTCTTGGCTGGCTCTAACCTCACAGCAGTCCTCCTGTCTCAGCCTCCCAAGTGCTGGGACTACAGGTGTGAACCCACCATGCCTGGCTTTTGACAAGTTAAGGGGACTTGCTGCTCTGCTCTCGTGAGAACTGGGGTTTGGTTCTGAGCACCCACACGGTGGCTCACAACTGTCTTTAACTCTAGTTCAGGGGATGTGCCATCTGCTTCTGTTTCCAAGGGCACCCAGCACATACTTGATGCTTGTACATACACGCAGGCAAAGCCACGCATTCATAAAAAATAAAAATAAATATTTAGAAAGGCATGAAGGAAAAATTGAGCATAAAATATGCATTTTAAAATAGATGGCAGTAGTATTTTATACTAAAGTACAATTTAAAAAATTTATTTAGTTTTGCAGTGCGTGTTTGCCTGTGTGTGAGTATACATTTGTATGCATGTAAAGGTTAAAGGTCGGCATTGGGAGTCTTCCTGGCTCTCCTCACCTTATGTACGGTTAGAGTCAGAACTCTTGGTTGACTCCAGAGCTCACTGCTTTTGCTATTGTACTGGCTTGCTCTAGTGACCCGTTTCCACCTTGCACACTCTGGAATTACAGGTGGGTTATCACCATTTGCACAAAACAGACCTGAACTCTGGTGTTTGCTATAGCAAGTACTTTACCTACCAAGCCACCTCCCCCAGACCCTCAAATACCCTTTTAATACAAAACAGCAACAAACCCCGACTAGCCAGATAGTTACAGATCAGAAAGGGAGAGAGGAGAAAAGGAATTCCTCATCTGTGCAATTGAAGGTGACCTCTACTTAATCTCCTAGACATTCTGGAGAAAGGACAACTTCAGTTTTTAAACTTTCTGCTGTTTCTTCTGTTTGGCATACTAATTACTTTCTGCTGTTGTGATTTAAAAAACAAAAACAAAAACATGACCATCGCAACTTAGAGTATTTGGGCTTAATGGTTCCAGAGCAAAGAGAAGAGTCTGTCATCATAGGGGGCTTGGCAGCATACAGCATACAGCATACATGGCAGCTGGGGCAGAAAGCTGAGGGCTCACACTCTGAACTAAGCTGGAAGCAGAGAAAATGAACTAGAATGGCACAAGTCTTTAAACCCTTAAAGCCCTTCTCCAATGATGTATTTCCTCCAATAAGGCCACACCTCTTAAACCTCGCCAAACTGGACCACACGTATCCAAATGTCTGAGAGTATGGAGTATGAGGAACATTTCTCATTCAAATTACAACCTTTGGCATGTCCTTTTGAGGTTCTTCATAGGTTGGATAGTGTGCTTGCTTGTTTTGAGGCAGAGCCTTACTATGTTGCCTTGGAGCCCACTGTGTATATCATGCTGGCCTTGAACTCAGATCCTCTTGTCTTAGCCTCTCAAGTGCAGGGGTTAAAGTTGTGTGCTGCCACACCAGGCTTTTTTATAGGTTCTGTGTGGGTAAAACTAGCATTCCTATTAGAGTGCTCTGTGTGTGTGTGTGTGTGTGTGTGTGTGTGTGTGTGTGTGTGTGGTGGTGGTGGTGGTGTTGGATGTGAGAGCTGATTCTCAGCAGAGCTTTTTCACTGCATCAGATCCCTCAGCCCATGACTGACCTGTCAGTCAGTTCCAGAGGGAAGTCCAGATGAGATACTAGAAGCAAAGGCTCCTTGGGGACCTGGGGACATGTGCTTCTTAGAAATGGTGCCTGATGGAAGATTTTACCTTGTTTCTCCTCACAGATTTTGAAGCAAGCTTTATAAGGCTGTTGGACAAAATAACTAATGGTTCTCGAATTGAAATCAACCAAACAGGTAGGCTTCTTCTCTCTGTTCCTGAAAGTACCTAAGTGTACTATGCATGCATTCTTCTGCTTCTTATTTGGCTGGTAATACTGTATTATGTTAAAACAATAAACTTTACTAACTTTTGTGTTGTCTAAGCCATCAGCATGAGTGTTTGGAGAACACCCTTTGAAGCTAACACAAGACAGTACTGAGTGGAGATTATAAGATAGTTAGTTCATCGTGCTGGATCATTACTATAGTACTTTGAACTGGGAAGACCCAGTGTGTTTATGGTATGACTATGTATATATGTACACACATAATCATACGTAAATACAAGCGTAAATGTTACAGGATTCCTGTCTGGGTCCTATCACTGTTTTAGCCCCAAAATAGCACACAGAAACTATTTGTTGCAATGCTGTCAGCCAATATCCAGGACTTATCATTTGTTAGTTCTATCTTAAGTATTAACCCATGACTACTAAAATATATTTCTATATGGTTTTACCTTACCGAGAACGTCAGGCTTGTGCATCCTCTCCTCCTGGGATCACATGGTGATGCTCTACCCTTGACTACATTTCCCAGAATCCTCCTCAACTCCTAATCCTACCTGTCTTGCTTTCTTATTGGCCAACAGTGCTTTATTCATCAACCAATAAGACAAACATATACACAGAAGGACTTCTCCATCACATAAAAATATGAAATGTCCCTACTTTTAAGAGGTGTAACAGAACTAAGGTTGTAGGTTAGTGGTACTGTATGTGCCTAGCTTGCTCAAGGTTTAATCCTTAACACTGAAAGAAAAGAAATAAGGGAAATACACTTGATTTAGAGAAATAGACAAATGGTCATTTCAGACAAAAGGGAACACATATGTAAACTTTCTGAATTCAGCAGGTGCAACTGTGTTGAATTCTTACAGCAAACTCCTAGATATACTGTGTTGTTGCAGGTACTGGAACCATACTATTTTATTTTAAAGATTTGATTCAAGTTTATATCAATATATTTCAAGAAATTTGACAATCCCTTCAGCCTCTTCCTCTTCTAGCCTCTTCTTTCAGGTAGTGGGGTCACAGCTCAGAAGGGCTGTGTTTTCGCTGTTCCGTTGCTGGTTGCTTTCCTGTGCTGGGCTCTCTGTGATTTCTGTGGGTTACTGTATAGATTGGGTGATCATTATTTAATTGCCTTGTTGGTAATCATTTGAGTTCCTTGGCAATTTTTTTTTACTAGAACCATTATCTACATTGACCAAGAAGTAAGGCAGACATTGGTTGGCACCATGAACTATCCATTCCACAAAGGATTCTTTAACCTTTTCAGTTGACTCTCTTAAGAAAGAAGGCAAATTTGGAGTCACAGGTGGCATTGTACCTTGCATATGTGCTGGTCTCTGCATTCAGTCACACCTAGTGAAGAACAGGCCTGGGAATGAGTTATTCATCTCTCTTTTTCTGGTTGTGCTTCCTTTGATAAATGTGAATATTTTTTGGATTGCATGGATATGTGAAAAACTGAACTAGGATGATGAGGATCAGCTGACAAAATAAGTTGAGATAGTTCACTAACTAATATCAAATTGAAATGCTACCACTGATGGTGTTTGATATCACAAGAATCTGGGTTGTGTGGGTATTGTGTTTGGTGAGTGGGGTGTGTGAGACCTCATTTGAGGGGAGTGTACAGAATGTGGGCCGCTGGTGTGCTGAGACATTGGTCCACAGACCCACAGTCAGCATCTGAGTGTGTTGGAAGGAATCTTGGCAACTGTTAGGAGCCTTCTGTGTTCCACTTACATAGCTCAGGGAGGAGTTTCTGTATGGCTGGTATTAAATTGTACCCACAGCTTATTACTGTTCAGAGGCTATGTGGTGGTGAGTCAGCTTTTGACGTGAGGTGTGGACTCTGAGAAATGACATTTTGAGCTCCCTGGATGCCTTGATCAGATTCCCCTTGAAACTCAAGGGGAATACTTAATTTTGTTCCTGTTGCATTGGTTTTTTGTTTGTTTGTTTTCTCTTGATTTAAGGAACAACCTTGTATTACCAGCCTGGTCTCCTGTATGGGGGGTCTGTGGAGCATGACTGTAGTGTTCTCCGCAGCATTGGCTATTACCTGGAGGCCCTGCTTTGCCTGGCTCCATTTATGAAACACCCATTAAAGATCATTCTACGAGGAGTGACCAATGACCAAGTTGACCCTTCGGTGAGTATTGGGTCAAACCATACTGGGATTTTTTTCTTTTGTTTACTGTCACAGCCCAATTTCTTAGGAAAAAAGGTTTCTTACAAGCACAGTTTGTTTTTACGTGCATTTCTCTTGCTGCTTACCTTGAGATGTAGAGTTCGTTGATTCACTCCAAGACGAACAGGTGAGTTAAGACCCTCGATCATCAAGTTGGAGGTGATGGCTAACGTTCGTCAGAGTGCCTTTCTCTGTTGTATCTGCAAACCTTCACAACTGACGCTGGCTGTCTCATCCTGCTTGACATGAAATACGGCTCTGCTGGCTGCAGTGTGAGTGGAGTCTTGGTAAGGTGTGAGCACTGAGGCTGGAGGACAGTGGGCCACAGTTAATAGGCAGCAGGAAATGATATCTGGGCATTGCCACAGTATAATCTTGTCCTATCCAGGCCTCCACCGTTAACTCGAGGGCTTTTCACTTAGAGAAGTTTTCCACAAAGTGGACACGAGGACAGGGAGAATGTGTGAGTGTTGGTAGTTGTGGGAAACAGCAAGCTACTCACTAAGCATCTTAATTTTCCTATAGCTAGAAGGAAAATGGTTTAATACCCAACAAAAACTTTCATTTTGTTCACCATAGTTACCAGCGTCTGTGTTAACATCTTGTGGGGAGGGAAGGAGTCTACATGAGGACACTTTACTGCCTAGGAGAGGCTACAGACAGCTGGTGGCCTTGCAGTTGTCACTGAAGAGACATCTTATCTTCTCTGTAGATACAGGCCACTGCAGCTTCCAAGGGTAGCTGCAGGGTGTTGCAAGTTTCCTGACTGGGAAGGAACAATTAATGGCGACCACTCATACTTAGCAAGGTTCCCACTATGGTCCCGTTATATAATATGTTTCTGGGCAGTTGAGGACTTATTCCTCAGTTCTTGGAAATTTAGCTATATGTGCAGTGCAAGATTTGCAGTTTTCAGCTGTGGGTGAAAGAATGCTGTGTAACCTGTTTAGAATTTTAAATTAGAGTGTCTTGCTCCATTTCCCCACATTGTCTGGAGATTCTAGGAAATGGTTCCTTTTGTTAAAATAGGAGAGGAGATGCCTGCAGCTTTACATTGTAGGTAGGTGAAGTGTCTCAAATAATGGTAAATGCAGGCTTGGGGATTCAGCACTTGCCCTCTGTTTCATACTTGTTTAATTGCTGATGCTCCCAAGCACTGATTTAACCGTTTTTTAAAAACACTTTATATATTAGTAACAACGATTGGTTAATGAATTCCTGTATGCAGTGTGCTTAAAGCATATGTATTCTCACAGTTAGGGGATGCTTTATGTTTTCCAGCTATGGCTAAGATGACCTTGTTTAACCCGACTAGACTAAGTTAGCACAAAAGTACCTTGTTCTAATAGGTCTTAATAATAAAAACCCAGAGTCAGATATTGGGGTAAATGCTGAAAGGTCAGAGAAGTAAAGGAGCAGACCTCGTACCTCTACCGAGTCCTCAGACCAAAGGGGCCACCCTGTCCCTATGAATCCTCAGACTGCGTCTCTCGCATGTCTCCCACCTTATGTTCCTCTCTCCACCCAGCCATATCTGTTCCTGTCTCCACCTTCTTAGTGCTGGGATTAAAGGCAGTCACTCCAAGTGCTGGGGTCACCTTTGTGTGAGCTCTGTTTCTCTTTTAGACAGATTCAATCTCATGTAACCCAGGATGGCCTTGAACTCATACAGAGATCTGTCTGTCTGCCTCTGTCTCCCTAGTGCTGGGATTAAAGGTGTGTGCCACTACTGCCTGGCCTCTATGGCGGATCTTCAGGCAAGCTTTATTTGTTAGATCATAAAATATCAGCACAGTGCCTAATTAAAGAGTAACTTCTCCAGCCTATGGGATCTTCAGTCATCTTTTCCGTGTTCCCTGTGGTGCTGCTCTCTGCATAAGAATGGGTGTCATGAGTAATTAATTCTCCTTAAAGAACTCTCATTCTCTTGGGGCCTGTAGCTGGAAACCTGAGGGCAGAAGCTGGCCCTGATAGAGTCTGTATCTTATTCTGATGAGCATTGTAACACAGTTCCTGAGACTAGGCAGTTGGTACATTAAAACTTTTTCTCTTATGGAAGCTGGGAAGTTCAAGAGATGGTGCACACTATAAGGTGGTGGAGGGACATGTGATTAATTCAGTTAGTCTGTAACGGTTTTGCTGGATCCTTTCCTGCCACACCCAGTCCATTTTGAAGGTGCTCCTAGGCCTTCTGTACCATCTCTCCTTCTACATCATCTCTACAGGCTTGACACCTGGCTTAGGGAGGGAATTTAGATTGCCGTGCTGGTTTTGACCGGAGCCGTGTAGCTCGTCAGGGGTTGCGTTTGGGACCAGGACCAGGGCTTCCGGTCTTTTCTGCTCATGTAGCTACCATCCTTGCTTCCTCTCCTAGTGCAGCCTGCCTAGGGCCTTCCGGGAGCTCTGGATATGGAAGAAATAACAGTAATCAGCAAAATCCTGCCCTGAACTGTCAGTGCTTTTGTAATCACCATTGAGGGTTCAGTGGTCTCATATGCTTTGAGGGCATCACCCCTCTAGCCCCCCAGCATGTGGATTGGGCACCTGTATCAAGATTTTCAGGTCACCTTGAAGAGTTCGTTCGGTTTACTCTGACCTGGAGAAACAACAGCTCTAGGTGTTAAAAAGAGTATACATAGTGTTATATATATTGGGAAAAGAATAATAAATGAATGCTATAATGGTAATATTTATTAATAAACAAGTAAAATAATGCCATGTGACACCTATGAAAATGAACAGAGGCTACTGTTTGTTTTCTGTGTGAGTCCAGCAGTCTCTCGAGTCTTGTTTGCTTCTTGAACTCTCTCTACATGTCCAAAATGTAATTAAAAATTCTACTTTGAATTAACTTACAGGTTGATGTTCTTAAGGCAACAGCACTCCCTCTATTGAAACAGTTTGGAATTGATGGAGAGTCATTTGAGCTAAAGGTAAGAATGTATGAGCTGCTGGCTGAATATATGTAAGACTTTTTATTTAACTTATTGGAAGAAACATGTGCCACATTTCAAGTCATCATATGTCATGGTGATTTACAGGGCTTATTAACTGATGCCTCAAACCTTGAAAGAGCTCCTTTGGTAGTGGGATAGTAGCCAGCAGTCATGTATACTCTGTGGTAGGTGCTGCTATAACACTTGACAGGTGTAGCGCCCTTCCCACACACCACAGCTGGTCTGGCCCTTTGCCTCTCTTGTCTGAATCACCCTGGTATTTGTGTCGGGAACTCCTGAGAATCCATGAAGTCTTCAAGCCCGGTGGGATGGTTTAGCCTTCCTGGGTTGGGGTGTCAGGGAAGGCATGTTTTCTGTGTCTGCGTTATCCCCTGTGAGCCCCTTGCCGTTTTGTGCAGATCTTGCGGCGGGGAATGCCTCCTGGAGGAGGAGGCGAAGTGCTGTTCTCGTGCCCTGTGAGGAAGGTCCTGAAGCCCGTCCAGCTCACAGACCCAGGAAAAATCAAGCGTATCAGAGGAATGGCGTATCCTTTGCATCAAATCTAACTCTTTTCCTGCCTTGTGAAGAAAGCGGCTCTACTTCTTCCACTGTTTGTGTTTTAGACAGCAGCCTCATAAAAGTTTCAGTGGTGAGATTGTAGTGGTGAGATCTGTTTTATTTATTCTGTGCCTCACAGTGACAAGGGTGGTTCATCATTTTCTTCACTTCCGGCTACTCCGTCTGAGGATGGAAACAATTCTGTAAAGTGGGGATCTAGTGTAACATGTGAAATGATGCTGGGGTAGGAGCGGTGGCCGGGGATCTGGGGCGAGGGAGGGGCCACGTATCTGCAGGATGTTTGGGAGGCTGGAATCGTAACAGTATGTTCTGTTGTGAGTGCTTCTTCTGTGTCCTTTGGGGGCTGATGCACCTCAGTGTTAAGCTTCAGATAAGGGAAACTGAGGTGTAATAGCTCTGTTTGCTAATAATGTCACATAGCTACTCGGCACAAACTGGGGTTTAAACCTTGTCAGTAACCCCAGGCTTTACCCTCTGCTTTTCCCTGCTGAGGCATTTGGCCGAGCCTTAAATGATGGAGGCCTGTGAAGTAGGACAAGACGGGGATGACTCAGTGAGAAAAGTGGCCGTTTGCCGAGGAAGTGGCACTCCAGCATCTAGGGCAGTGACTAACAATGCAGGCTGGCAGGACTCAGGTGGTCAGTGACAGCCGATGAACAGTGGGGTCTGAATTGAGCAGGAGCCCATGAAGAACTGGGGCCATTTTTAAAAGTCAGTGATTTTTCATCTGGAAAGCAAATTTGCATATTAGGGCAGCTTACGTATGAACTGTTGTGGAGCCTTTGGAAAGTATGGTTGTGGAAGAGAATCAAGTGGCAGCCACTTAGAGGCAGTGGTAACAATTATTGTGCCCTACAGAGAGGCAGGAAAGGTGGTGGTCGGGAATGGTGAGAGCTGCCGGGGAAGAGGCTGAGAGGGAGGGCTCATGGCACACACATGGACAAGGATTGGGAGTCATTGGGGATGGTTTTGATGCTTCTCACCACGGCTTGCTGGTAGGGATGTTTGCTCTGACAGTAGCTACTAAAGAGGGGTCAGGTAGTGTCTTACGGTTTTCATTGCTGTGAAGATACGCCATGACCATGACAACTCTTATGAAAGAAAACATTTCATTGGTGTTGCTCACTTACAGTTTTAGAGGTTTAGTCCATCATCATGATGGGGAGCATGGTGGCATCCAGGCAGATGTGGTGCTGAAGCTGAGAATAGTTCTATTTCTTGCAGGCAACAGGAAGTTGACTGTGACGCTGGGTGGTATCCTGAGTATAGGAAACCTCAAGGCCCTCCTCCACGGTGACGCACTTCCTCAAAGCCAGATCTCCTAGTAGTGCCACTCCTATGAGATTATGGGGATCAGTTGCATTCATACCATCACAGATGGAATAGGAATGCTCAATTTGATGGCTCCAGTGAAATGGTCTAGAAAGGACATTGGAATGGAGGATCCGTAGCTCTGGGGCAAGAGGAGGGCTAGAAGTGAATGCTTTGAAGTCAGCAGTCATGAAGAATGCAGAGAGGAGACTTGAGCCCTGAGAGCCCTCAGAGCTGGAAGATGAAGACAAAGTGAGGAGGAGTATAAAGATTGGACCCCTGGAAGCCCAGGCCAGTACCTTCCAAGGTGCTGAGGAGCCAGTCTTGGCAGAGAAAAGTTAAAGGCCTGGAAAGAGCTTTTTTTTTAAAGCAGTAATGGAGGCGGAATACACGTGACCAGTTCTGGATTGTGGGGTGAAAGACAGGGAAGAATTGTTGGAGTTGTTCTTTGTAGAATCTCTACAGGAAAGAGGAGAAAGATATGATGGAGGTTGGATGAAGAACGGGAGCAGAACATGCCCCTTTTTGAACACAGGTTATGGCTAGTCAGATGGCTTGCATTGTGAAGCGCTTGTCTTGCAAATATGACCTGAGTTTGGTTCCCTGGAGTCCACTTTAAAAAAACCAGGTGTTGTAGTGGCATGTTGATGTGAATAGTTCTGCTACTGGGGAAGCAGAGATAGGATCCTGGGTGGAGTTGGTTGTCTTTTTACTTTTTTGGCTCTTAGCTCTTTTTTTTTTTTTTTTTTTTTTTTTTGGAGGGGGGAGCACCACCCAGCTCCCAAATAAATGCATGGAGTCTTATTCTTACTTATGAATACCCAGCTTTAGGTTGGCCAGTTTTGCTTAACTTAAATTATCCCATCTGTTTTTTCCTCTGGGCTTTTACCCTTCTCTATTTCTGTATACTTTCTTTACTTCTTACTCTGTGTCTTGTGGTGTAGCTGGGTGACTGACCCATGCCACCATGATGGTGGCCAGCAGCAGTGACTAGAGAGCAGTCCCTTTTTATTGACTTCAGGAGAACTGGGTGGGTCAGGGGGACAGGCAGGAGAGTCGGGTGGGTTGGGAGGATTTGTGGGGCAATCTGAGGCCATTCCCATCAGTAGAGAAGCTGGTTTGAGTCTCTTGGTCTGTTTTGCTTCCACACATACCATGTACCACACGTGTGTGTACATGCAGTGCACACCTAAACAGCTTCCTGTCTCATGAGGGCAAGAGGAAGCTGGTTTGTTTGCATTTGTTTTGTTTTTTTGTAGCCAGGTCTGTTTAGTTTTGAGTGTCTCAGTTCTGCATCCCAAGGGCTTACCCTGTAAGAAGCTGAGAGCCAGGACTTAAGGCCCTGCCACAGGCTTGACATGAGCATAAAATAGGGAGATATGTCTGTGAGGAACTTTGTGACCTGAGAGTGCTAATGGGGTTGTCTCTGGGTGGGGGCATCTCCTGGGTTGTCCTAGGGAGAATGGGTAGGCTCAGGTTCCAGAAAGATAGCACCCACTCAGTCCAAAGGCTGTGAGACCCGGAGCTGTTTGTCTAAAACTGTTCAAAGTACATTCTGAACAGAAGAGATGGTGATGAAACTGGGCTGTGTATCCAAAACTCCCTTTTCTGCTCTTTCCCCATCCCAGAGTTGTCCTTTGAGTCAACTCAAATATTTATTGAGCCTTTCTGAGTACAAAAGTAGAGCTCATAGAGTTGTGAGGGGTACAGTGTAAAAACCCTGAGGAGAGTTGTGAGGGATACAGCGTGAAGAGCCTGAGTTGAGTTGTGAGGGGTACAGTATGAAGACTCTGAGGAGAGTTGTGAGGGGTGTGGCAGTAAACCCCTGCACTCATGGAGCAAAGACGAGATGGGTCTGAAGGAAACTGTGGTAAGTTCAAGTCAGGTGCTGGCTGGAGGGCTTCACACAGGAGGCATCTGTGAAATGAAGAGTGATGGAAGGCAGTTGATGTGAAGACTGACTGACTGGAGGTAGGCAGCAGTTCCAGGTGGGGGTGAACTGGGGCAGGCTGGCAAGTCTGGATAGTAGGATCAGGAAGGTTCCTCTTTAGCAGTGTTCAGTTTCAGACGAGGAGAGGGGCTAGCTGACAGGCCAGGGTTCATGTACAGAATCTGTTTCTTAGTTCTAATGAAAATCAAGTGTGTTAGTGATAGCAATTATTTTACAGCCTTGTAGGAATGGGCAGATCATACTGTGCTGGAGTCCACATGGTTTATCGTGGTGGTGGGAGGACCACGTGTTCTTGTTCCCGCTGCTTAGTCCTGCGTCTGTGTCTGTGTACCTCCAGCTCTGAGGATTCGCTGCACCTTGAGGTGGGATCGGGGAGAGCCTGTCTGTTACACAGTTTTAATTTGGGGTTATGGGTTCCATATCCTACTGCACCAACCCTTTTGGCTATTTTTTTTCTCCATTTCAGGAATTCCTTGTTGTAGAGAGCTCAGTAGTCGTTTTCACCAGAGCAGCAAAGTAGAGGCCCCTCTGTCCTCACAAATGCAGTGACTGATTCTTAAATCACAGAACATAGATAGCTCTGTGTGTTTGGAGAACCTGCGATCTTTCAAATAGTGGTCCCCTTGATCAAAAGTTTCTGCTTCCCTGTCCCTCTGTTGGCATCCTGGGAAATGGGCTGGGATTGTCCCAGGGCCACCCCAGTGTGGTATCTGGCCTGGCCTTACATTCTTTTTCTTTTCTTTTTTTTCGAGACAGGGTTTCTCTGTGTAACTTTGTAGACCAGGCTGTCCTCAAACTCACAGAGATCTGCCTGCCTCTGCCTCTTGAGCGCTGTGATTAAAGGTGTGTGCTTTCCCCGCCCGGCTCTGGCCTTACATTCTTAGGCTTTTTATATCAGTCAGGCTATAACAGTCTTCACAGGGAGCCTGATTGTGGCTTTGAAGAAGCAGGCATCTTCACACTCTAGAGTGGAACAGTTACAGAGAAAGGGTGGTTGGGTAGTCAGGGTTGGACTACCGGACTGTCTGGCTTGACTTTACACTTTATGTTATAGGAATCTAGGTTCTTTTTTATCATGACTGTTTTAACCATTTTTTTAATAATAATAAAAAATTGAGTAATGGAACTAATAAGCTAAATAATAGTTGAGAGATAATGGAATTGTAAGTTCCAACACGACACAAAATTGCTCTCTTTCTAACTGGCTTTTCTCCCCTGTGTCATCCAAGAATCGTGACTTCCTTAACCCTAGGCTGCAGGTACTCTGTGCGTGTATCTCCTCAGATGGCAAACCGTATTGTGGATTCTGCCAGGAGCATCCTCAACAAGTTTATCCCCGACATCTATATTTACACAGACCACATGAAAGGCGTCAACTCTGGGAAGTGAGTGTGTTCTAGAACAGATTCCCCAGTGAGAATACTATACTGCACCACTCCTTCCTGGTTCTTATTTCTCATCTCATTGGTTTGAATCTGAAGTTTTCAGGTTTGTCTCTGAAAATAAAAACATTGGATTCTTCAGTTGCTTTTTCTCTAAGGGGCAGCATGACTGATCCTCACAGCTGTTGGAGGTTCTCTCCTGACGGGGTTAAGAGTGAAGGGTGAGGAAGGGGTGGTTGGGTGTGAGCGGGAAGTCTGGCCTTCACACAGCCCAGTGTCGAGTAACCGTGTCAGAGGTTAGGGCTGGAAAGGGTGTGTACACAGAGTTGGCCTTTCCCGCTGGGGGTGGAAAGGTCATTGACCTTTCCGTGTCTTTTATTACTCAACCGCCAGAACATTCTTCATTTACACATTGAATGTAATGGTGTATCCCAGGATAATTGTAAACATTAAGTTAAAAGAGGGTGTATGTATACATGAAGTACTTTCTGCGAAAGTGTTTAGTTTTTAACTCGTAAGTTACGGGTAATAAGTCACTGAAGTCCTGTCTAGGTCGCTCCCCAATCTGATCTAGTGATGGACCCACTTGAGTAAGGGTTGTGGCATGTACTGCTCAAGGCCTGAGCCCTGGGAGCCAGCTCTTCTTGGCCTGTGTTAGCACTTAGACCAGCATGCACATTGGTTTAGTGTGGTGCATTTTGACTTACACAGTCATTACTTAAAAAAGAAGTAATAAGGCAGTCCTCCCGTGCTGGAAAGCTTTGCAGAGCCTCAGTGATGTCCTATGCATGCTTCCACCGTGCTAGGTGCACAGTTTCCTTCTTGTGACTCAAAGGCATCTTGTATGTTGCACTAGAATTTTCTATGTGTCTCTAATGATGAGTCAGATGTTCTGGAACCTTGACTTTGACAGGTGGTATTAATCTTTTCTAAATAATTGTTTTAAAGAAGTTAAAAACTGGGCAATAGAATTCATCCACATAGGGAGTCCATATAGTGCATAGAAAACATCAGTAGCCAGTTTTGGGGGTGCATGTCTATAATCCCAGTACTCCTTGCGGGCTAAGACAACGGGATTGTGAGCCGAAGCCAGCTTCAATAGTGCAATCATATCTCTAAAAATAAAAATGAAATAAGCACCATAATTATGTCTGTAGTTTTTCTGGCACTGCTTTGGCCAGGGTTCTGGGTAGAACACCTTTTTAGAGCAGCATTGAGAAGTGTTCAAGGCAGCAGCTTTGTGTTGGGATTGTGTGTGGAGTGTGCCATTGGAAAAGCTTTTTGAGGGATGGATTTACTTTGCAGTGGACAAAGTACATTTGAGGCATCAAATCTGGCAAATTTGTGGGGAGGTGCTTCTTTTTCTGATTTTGGACTGGTTATTTACTTATTTTCTTTCTGGCTAAATTAGTTGTCACTGTGTTTTGTGGAAGCAGACTCTCAGGTTTTACCCAGCATACTTTCGGTTCCTGGCTGTGGAAGTTTCTCTCGGGTGCTTGCTTGTTACATTTACGAGGAAGTCAGCTGTGACCCTGGGCAGGAAGATTAGGTTTTTACCTGAGGGATGATAGAAACATGTCAGAGACCATAGTGCCAGCTCATTGTCTATAGTTAAGTGAATTCTCAGTTTAGTGCTGTCTCCAGACAAAAGTGCAAACACGGAGCTCCTTTTGCCCTTTCTGGTTTCATACTTGTCGTTATGGGAAACATCTGCTGTTTCTCAGCCTTGATGTCAGATGGTGTCCAGGGTTGTAGTAAGTTCTGAATTGGCTATAGTTCAGGGTCAAATGGGAACTGGAGATCGTCCATGGACTCTGGAATCTGTAAAGCCTGCATTTGAAACTTACCTTTGTCACTTTTCAACTGAGTGGACATGGTTAAGGCTGCTTATTATCAACATATTCTCATTTGTAAAATGAAGGCAGTGGTAACTTCTCAACAAGTAGAGGCCTGGGTGTTCTTTGCATGTTCAGTACTAAAAACCTGTTGACATATTCTGTGATTGTTATAAACACATTGAGAGTCTTTGTAAAGAGCAGGGAGGAAAAAAGTAAGGATTGGAGGACGAATTGGAAGTGTGAACTTGCCTCTTGCCTTGGTTCAGCTTTGTGTGCCTCAGTAGTCTGTGTTTCCTTAATGAAGAACACATCCCCGTCTTTTGTGTATTATGCCGCATGTGCCTTTACTTACTCAGGGTCTGCCTTTGAATCACCAGGTCTCCAGGCTTTGGACTGTCGCTGGTGGCAGAGACTACCAACGGTACCTTCCTGAGTGCTGAACTGGCCTCTAATCCCCAGGGCCAGGGAGCAGCGGTGCTTCCTGAGGACCTCGGCAGGGACTGTGCAAAGCTGCTGCTTGAAGAAATCTACAGGGTACGTCCCCTGCCTCTGCACATGCAGGGAAGGAGCAATCTGGAGAAGGCAGTGAATGTCTTTCCCTCTTTATTCCTTTCTAAAAACTTAAGCTTAAAGAGCTAACCAGTGCTGTGCAGTAAGTGTTCAGAGTTAACTGGCTTACTGGCTTCATTGAGTTAGCCCATGAGCAGAGATCTAGCTCTACAGGCACATAGACAGAGGAGAGGAACGGACCAATAAGAAAAGCGAGTGGAGGTTAAAACCGAACGCAGCGGCAAGTAAAGTAAGATGGAGGCCTGACCAAAAGAACGTGCTCTCTCTCTCTCTCTCTCTCTCTCTCTCTCTCTCTCTCTCTCTCTCTCTCTCTCTCTCTCTCTCTCTCTCTCTCTCTCTCTCTCTCTCGTTTTGCCTGCGGACGTTATCATATGGCTGTGAGCCACTGTGTGGGTACTACAATGAATCTGGGTTCTCTGCAAGAGTGGCACGTGTTCTTATCCACCGAGCCATCTCTTTAGCCTGAGACGACTCACTCTTAGCCCCCCTCCATGTTCTTATGTGGAGGTAGGGACTCGCCTTCAGATTTATCAAGGTAGTATGCTGGATTTGTATGTGAATAGAGTTTGCAGTATATTCTAGAGGATTGAAGACTGTCTAGGCAAGGCCAGGCTGTCACAGCATGGAAGTCTCTGGAAAGTGTGAGAACTGGGCAGTGTTAAAGAGAGACTTTAGCCAGTTCCCATTTCGCTTCTGCAGTTCTGTGGGTAGCATGTCAGCTGCATTCTTCATGGCCACGAACTGTTGATCACAGGTGCAGTAAGCACACTTTGCTTTGCCACAGCCGAGGTGACTGAAAGTAAGGAGGAGATTGCAAGGGGAGAGGAGATGCTGGTGACGGGGATATGATCCCCAGAATGACCCCTCAGAGGAGGACTGCAACCTGGCCTTGAAACCTGCTCAGTGCTCATGTAATAAAAATCAGCTTTCTCATAGTGGGATCAGGGAGGCTGAACTGTTTCAGAGTTAAGTAAACATTGGTCAAGCTGGGAGAGCCTCCTGATGTACCTGAGAAGCACCACAGAGTCACTGTGCTTGCTGCTGGGAGCAGTGCAGTCAGGAAGTCAGAGCCTCAACAGGAGTCTTGTGTAGCCCAGGTCTGGTGCAGGGATTTTGGTGCCAAATCAGCTCATTTTGAGGATAGATTATCGATGGTTTTGAAAGGTAAGTGATTAGATGTTTGTGGGTAAATGATGAAGCCATCAACTCACCAGTTACTTCATGAAGTTTTATTAAATGTTCTGTCTGTGTGTTGTGTTGGGTAAAGAGTATGCTGGGAGCTAGCTGTCTGTCTCTAAGCTCCTTGTTGGCTTGTGTAGGTCTTCTTTTCCTGACTTTGTGAGCTGATTGGTCCTCTCTCTGACTGTGGCGACACTTCTGTCCTTTTTGGTAGACTGGGAAAATGAAAAACACTGTGCTCCAGAGAAGTTCAGCAGGCACTCATGGGCAAAGCTGGAGTTTGGGTTTCGTATCTCTTTAATAGCAGACTCGCCCTGAGGTAAAAGCATAGCCTACTGGTTCCAGGAGGAAAACATACAGCCTGGATTAGGTATTCAATTCTTATCTTTAATTGAGATCTTTTCAAAAACCATTATTGTTCCCCAACCTAGTTTGCTTTGTTTTAGTAACTAAGAAAACTTAGTGTTTCCCTAGTCTTTACTTACTAAAAGGATAAAAATACCAATGCCTTTTTGACTAATTCTCTGTAGGTCTGTGATGTGACGTGATAAATCCTGCTTTTTTAAAGTCAGATTTGTGAATCTCTGACCCAGCTCCTTGTGCCTGTGGGTTACCATGCCCTGCTGGTTCTGCTCTGCTGTGCCGTCCACTGCCCTGCACCCTTTCCGCCTCACCTCACTTCACACGCCCCTGGGAGCCGCTCTCCTTGTCGTCAGGGCAAGTCCTTTCCAGAGCCTCTTCAGCCTCCCTCTCAGTCTGTTCTGTTTCCAGACCTGGACTTGATCTCTTTATGTCTATGCAGAGTCTTGTGCTGGCTTCTTACCTTCCCAGAACACAGCTGATAATTGTGAGCAGTTCAGAAAGCCCCACCTCAGGCACCCCCTTCCCCCCAGATTACATGTGCCTCTCTATAGCCTGGCCTCTTTCCCATTGGCTGTGAGCCATTCCACCATGCTGCTCTTCTTTCCAAGGCCTTTCTATGCCTCTAGGCCATGTCAAATGCCTGCTCCCCAAAGCCTGCTTCTGGTGTTGGGCAAGTAACACCCTCATCTGTGCGGTCACATCTTGTAGCCGGCCTACCCTCTCCATGGTGTCCGGTACACGGACCCTGCCATGTTTATTGCATTAAGTAAGGTCCCACTCCAGTACCTAATACAAGTCAGCTGAGATGGGGCAAGAGCAACTGGGTGCAGTAGGAAGCAGACGGAAGACAATGGTTTAATTTGGGGCAGCCCAGGGAAAATGAAACAATTAGCTTTATTCATCGGATTTCCTGTTTTGTGTGGAACAGTTTGTTTAAGGAGAGGAATGGGTTTTCAGAAGGTCTGCTAAGCTGACAGTGACAGCCCGAGGCTCAGGACTGTTTGCTGCTGGGAATTGGTTTACTTCCTGTTTGTGTGCATTCAACTAGGAAGGAGTTATACCTAGTAAGCATCTCTGGCTGGCTACCTGTTGTACTCAGGGTCCAGCCTTGGACAGCAGTGAGCCATGGTCACAAACTGGATGATTTTAGATAGGTAGACAGTTCATGACATCCTGCTTGTTCTCTGTAAGGCTGTATGTAAATTGACATTGTTACAGTTACCCTAGAAAGAATAATGAGGAATAAAGGCATTTTTAAGGATACATATTTAAATAGCAAATCAGCTGACATGGTTGGAAATAAGAATGAAGAAAGAAAGCAACCCTAATAGTGTCTTTCAGTATGAAAATTTTAAAGGAAATTGTTTTGTCTATGCTTGGAAGGAGAAAGGAAGGGAATCTTGGGGAGAGATAACGTCTCAGCAGTAAGGACAGGTGGTCTGGCCGTGGCCCTTGGCAGTGGGAAGTCATGGGGAGAGGTAGAGCAGCTACGAGCATCTGGGGCCAGTTCAGAGCAGCTGGGAAGAGTGCAGGGGACTCAAAGACAGTCCCTTGTGTGTGCTTGACTGCTCTGTGACACACTCAATAAGCGTAGGTCGTCTGCTTAACCCTGGGAGCAGCTATCCCGGTCCTCCAACTGTACACATGCCCTTCTTTTACTCAGTACGATGACGCCCTCCATTGCCCCAGTTAGAAAGTGAGATACATGCCTGGGAATGTTGATTTCTTGTGTGTTGTCATGTTTGCAGCTGTTACTTGGGTTACCTGTTAGTTAACCTCAGGTTGGTTGTAGAACAGTTCTCTGAGGCCCATGCTCTGTGTGTTGCTGTTTGAACTTGGTCCACTGTTCTGGAGCCTCTTGTATTCTGAGTGTTTCTGCCTTCCTCTCTCCCTGCTTGTTGGTTCCCCTTTCTGGTTTGTCCTATGACTAATCATTAGAGTGTTTGTGTTTACAGGGCGGATGTGTGGACTCAACCAACCAAAGTCTAGTTCTGCTGCTCATGACCCTTGGACAACAGGACGTTTCCAAAGTCCTTCTGGGACCACTCTCCCCTTACACGTAAGCTGTTTTCATTTGACCTCATTATTCTGTTCAGTTTGATTTTCTGATTGTACAGAACGACCAGAGGTACTGTGTGTAGCCTGTGACCACAGTAGTGTGCCGACTGCTGGCCTGGTGTTTATTATCCTCACTCACACGTGGGTTTGGGCCTTCCCTTCTCTCCATTACAGCCGTTGGCCTCATGTTATCCGAGCTGTATCACATATATATTGGGCAGTTCTTGTGTCTGTACTTTATGTTTGGTTAATATTCCGAAGATAAACTTTTATATAGCTTGAGGTTTTTCCAATCCCATCTTCCTCTAGCATTCTTACTGTGACATGGGCTATTTTTCCAGTGGTATAACTTATTAGCTGACTGGGAGAGATAAATTCATAGGAATGTTACCAAACCAGTTGGGAAGTTACAGAGTTGATTTCAGGCAGTTGTATATTAAAAGAAAGTAACTGCTGAGGTATAAAAACTTGCATGTCCCAAGAACAGTAGTTAGCCAGAAGACTTGACTTACAGAGTGCAAAGTGAAGGAAGCATTTCTAGTCAGGAATAAATGAGCAGGTTTGAAAACAGCCCGTGCGTGAGGGTGTGTGTGGCGCATGTATACAGACTCCGGCCGGGGTAGTAAATTGGGTTTGGGGACGGTAGGTCTGAGACTGAACTGTCCTTTTTCGGTTATCATGGTACCGATGCTGTGTGTCTGAAGGGTACAGTACTGTGATAACTGAAGAATGGTGGTGCCATCACGTTGAGAGGGGGCGGGGCGGGGTGGGGGCTGGGAACCAGAAGCTAGAAAGCAATTCTTTTACTTTTGAGTCGGCAGTGCGAGTCTTTTGGGACAGAAGATGAAAGAGAATAATACACTGTTAGCAGCAGGGGAAACTGATAAGCAGGACCTGAAGAGCCACACATTATCTCCTGATAAAGTGCGTAAAGTGTTTCACAGAACGGAAACCTAGAGTTGAGTAATCCGAGTGGCCTGCCAGCCTCAGTTGTCAACATTGCTCAAAGAGAACAGCACTGGGGCATTCAGAGAGGTGGGAGGGGAGCACAGTGCCCCCGGTGCAGGATTCGCCTCCCAACAGAGTTGACTGAAGCAGCTGGTGGTTGTGTGAGCATGCTGGGCCCGCTGGGTTCTTAGCTGTGTCCAGCTTCTGCTCCAGGGCAGCAGAGGCCTGGGCTGTGCTAGAGAAAGCAAGAGCCACTGTCTCAAGTGTGTGGTCCAGGGCTTGGGCCTTGGCAGAGCATCATGTGAACACAGAATATATGTTTTTTTCCTTCATACCTTTTTAAAAAGTTGGTTTTGGAGAGTTTCAGTTTGGCTTTGGGTCCTTGTATAATCCTTGGTCTAGAGCCTCTCTGGAGATGGCTAGGATGCGACCTTTCCCTCCTCAGCGTGTCCTTCACCACATAATGCTTTTAGGTTTCCTGTCTTCTTCCAGAAACCTAAAATTACTGCAGCTCCTGGGAAAACAGTAGTCTGCTGTGAGCGGGGCTTTACAAGCGTAGACCAGATGGTAGCGTTCTGTGCTTGGAGAGCTGGGCCTGAGGCTTGGACACGTGCTCCTTCCTCTGCAGCTTCACGCAGTGGCTTCTCACAGTGTAGAAAAGTACACACCGAACCCCTCCCGCCACACACATACCCCACCTGCCCCAGACGAGGACAGAGGAGTTATGTTCCGATTGGGACCCTTTTGTCCTTAATCCCGTGGAAGGCTCCAGCATCTCAGAAAGATGAAGCGTGAACATGGAACCTCACAGGCATAATTGCTTCTATCTGTTAATGGGACAGGCTCCATGACTCATCATGGGGGAGGGGGAGTATCACGTGCATTTTCTGCATTTCCTTGTGCCATGAAAGTCCCAGAAATACAGTTTTTGAACCTTGCTTTCCTCAAGGAAAGCAGCAAAAAGAGTCTTGGTTTGAAAAAAGCTTGAGTATCTCTTCTGGAAGTTTGCATGTGTGCAGCTCTTAAGTGCGGTCTTACGGAGTACCAGAACTCAGAATGAACGTTTTCTCTCCCAGTTCAGGCCCTTACTGGGAAGTCAGGGGTGCTGTGTTCCTCCCTGCCCTGCCATGCTCTCCTCGGTGCTGTTCCTGTCCCTCTGTACTTTACTATTTGAGAAAATAGTCTACATGCTTGAAAAAAGTCTGCATGTTTGAACTTTTTGAGGCCAGTTTTTCCTCAGTAGAATAAATATTATTGGATGTCGTAGCATGTGAAGGGAATCTCTCTTTTAAATGTGAATATTGTTGGCTTCCAGTTGGTGGCAGCATTTTTACCCTGTGCTCCAGAAGCTTAATTTTATGGTTTAGGGAGAAATTGTTCTTTGTTTAAATGTTGGAGTAGCATCAACAAACATACATACATACGTACATACATACATATATATACGTACATATCTCAGTATATTATCAGGTGTCTTAGAATGCTCAGAAATCATGACAGGAGCTCAGAGCTAGCAGGCGTGGGTTTTCTGCCTGTGTATAGGCCTTGGGGTCTAGCCTGACTGGACTTCAGTTCTGTCTGTGCCCCCGGGGTCACCAGGGAGTCTGATGTTGAGCACCTCCCAACCTCTGTGGATCATGTGGATGGTGGGAAGATGGACTGAAGCGGGGATGGTCAGGTGCTAACAGCATTCATGGCATCATATCTGAGGGACTCAGATCCTGCCCAGACACCCCTCATTTCATCCTAGTTTCTTCTCCCCATCATGTCACTTTGAGCACTAGGAAGTAAAGTCAGCTGTATATTGGCTCTTGAGCTGTCCATAAATTCCTTTTAAGTTTTATGATTGACTTCTAGTCATACTCCTTCACAAACTGTGCTTTTCCCTAGAATTGTGCAAGTAACGTTTGTTTAACGGACACAGTGTTTACTGAGAGCAGAACACTTGTTTGATTGCTTCTTGTTTTGTTCTTTTCCGTTTCTGGTACTAGAGATCAAACCCAGTACCATACGCTGTTCTGCCAAGCAGTGCCAGACAGCCTCAACCCCCAGATAACTCTTTAAAACTACTTCGTTACATCATTTCCCCTTTCCCTGGCCTCTCTCCAAACTCATATCCCCTTCCTTGCTCTCTTCCAAAATCATGGCCTCTTTTTCCATTGATTGTTACATTCATATATGCACACATACACACATAATACACACATGTAGTCTGCTCAGTCTGTATACTTGTATACAGTCTGTATACTTGTATGTATGTTTTCAGGGCTGACCATTGGTATTGATAACCAATAGATGCTCTCTTCCCTGGGGAAGACTATTTCTGCTGTTCTCAGCATTCCTTAATTACCTCTAGTTCTTTGTATAGAGTTGAGAGGCCTTATGGGCTTTCCCACCCTGTTCCACTTTAGCATGTCTATTGTTTTCCTTGTTCAGCTCATTGATAGGCAGTCATGTTGGTGAGACTCTATGTATGTGTGTAGCTTCTGACATTTCTAGATTACAGTAAACTCCCTTGTAACATGTACTCTTCCTGCCAGCCGCCTGGGCCCTGCAGCTGTCTCAGCCCCCAAATAACACACAAAACACTACATTAATTGTGAAGCTGTTGGCTGTTTGCTTGGTTTCTTATTGGCTAGCTCCGACTTAATTATTAACCCATAACTGTGAATCTGAGTATTTCCACGTGGTCTTCTCTTACAGGAGAAAGGGTCCGGACCTCTTACTCCTGGTGTCTTACATCGTGACTGTGCCTCTCTTTCCCAGTCTTCCTGGTCTCCTAGTCCCACCTATCTTGCTTCTCTATTGGCCAACAGTGCTTTATTTAGTCAATCAATAAAACAACATATACACAGAAGGACTTCCCTCACCACTCCCTGATCCTTTGACTCTTAAAATCTTTCTTCCACTCCACCCCCCTTCCAAAATGTTCCCTGAGGCTTAGGTATAGGAATTGTAGGCATATTTCTATCAGTTGGGATGGCTCCACAACTCTGCATTTTGATTGGTTATGGTTTTGTATAATGGTCTCCATCTGTTGCAAAGAGAAATTTCTTTGATGTGTGAAGACCACACTTATCTCTGAGTATAGGGACAAATATTTAGAATGTAGTTAGGGATTATGGTGGTTATCAGTTCTCCTCCAAGATCCATGACTTCATTAGCCTGCGTAGATAGATGGGTTTTCAGAACCAGGCATGGTTTCTCTCTTGTTAAACAGGAAGTTTTTTTTTTATAAAAATATCTTTTAGCTCATTTGGTTTTCAACATAACCCTGTATGCATGAAAAAATAGGTGCTATTGTGTGCATCATCTTAGGTGATAAGACATGTCACTTGCCAGGGTCATACAGAAAGCAAGTGGGGTTCTGACTGGGACAGTTCTATAGGGGATGCTGCTTCTCCTACCACTGTTAGCTCATGTAAGAGCTGGGGTCCTGTCCACTGTCCTGGCTTCTCTGTGCTTTGCTGATATAGAATATTGTGCTGCAGCTTTGAGAAGTCCTTATCTCAGTCTGCCATGACCCTTGACATCTTTGACTCTTTAAACCTTAATAGTGACTTCTTTAATTCTTTTGATATGGGAGTGCTCAGGTACAAAAGCCTTTGCCTTAAACCTCAGCTACTCAGGGCACTTGCAGTGTCCCGTGACTTACATTTGTGAAGTACAGTGAAAGTTGCAATGTCTGGTCACACTTTTTATATTTCAGCTTTAGTTGGATTATAACAAAATAAAATGATACCTGCTTTTGGAGTGTGTTGGCTAAACTCAGCCAGGATCCCTGTATGCCAGCAGTGCAGCCAGCCTGGCTGTTTCCTGTTGGCTCTAACCAAGTTTAATAACATCATTCTTGGTGTAGAGTTTAAATGTTGTTGGCATCAGACATACCAATGATCTCCAAAGCTGCCATGTACTTACTGCAGGGGACATGGGAAGTAGTCTTTCTTACTCTCGGTCTTATCCCTCAGCCTCTAGGGAGAGCTCCTTAACACCTAACATGTTGCTAAAGCTACCCTGACCCACATCCAGGTGACGATGAAACCCGCTGGATTGGTAGACCAGGAGGGAGGATGTTCTGTTGTGTCACACCAGAAAGTGGCTAACGCGTCACTGCTCCTCTCCTGTGCTGCCCAGAGGCACTTGGAGGGGCTATGTCTGAGCCTGTCCAGTCTTGGTTGTCAGAATTCTGTGAGCTTTACCTGTTGACAGTGGCAGTGGGAACAACTGACCTTTGGAATCTACAGGGACAGTTATCTCTGCTTCCAGAATTTTCTGAAACCTGGTTGCCAGATAGACTGGAGACTTTCATAGAGAAGTCCTGTTTGTTTTGACAGTGAATCATTTTGTTCTGGAAAAAAAAATCGTTGCAGATTCAGGGAGGGATTAAGATCCTTCACTCAAAAGTTGCACAAAACTCCAGTTGCCCCAAGTGGCTTCTATAAGAAAAACTGCCCCTTGCTCTTGGATCAGTCTTCCTTCCTTCCTTCCTTCCTTCCTTCCTTCCTTCCTTCCTTCCTTCCTTCCTTCCTTCCTTCCTCCCTCCCTTCCTTCCTTCCTTCCTTCCTTCTTTCCTTCTTCCCCCTCTTCTCTCTTTGTTGTTTTTTTGTTCTTGTTTTTTCGAGGCAGGGTTTCTCTGTGGCTTTGAAGGCTGTCCTAGAACTCGCTCTGTAGAGCAGACTGGACTCAAACTCACAGAGATATGCCTGCCTCTGCCTCCTGAGTCCTGGGATTAAAGGCATGTGCCATCACCACCTAGCCTTAGTTTTTCCTTTCTTTCTTTTTTTCTTTTTTTGTTTTTTGTTTGTTTGTTTTTACGAGACAGGGTTTCTCTGTATTGTCGGAGGCTATCGTTCCAGCCCAGCCTCGAACTCACAGAGATCCGCCTGCCTCTGCCTCCCGAGTGCTGGGATTAAAGGCATGTGCCACCACCGCCCGGCTTAGTTTTTCCTTTCTTAAGGAAGCTGTTTGTTTAGATTTAACAACAGCTGATTCCCTGGTCATTTTTTCAACTCCATTTTTGCTTTTTACTATCCCAGCTACCGAAGATGTAGGGAGGAGGTTGGAAATGAGAGGACATTCCGATACATACCTCAATCCCATCTGTTGCAGCGCTTCTCAGACAGCTTGAAAGGTTGGCAGGACACCTTGTAGAAAGTCCAAGCAAGCCTTTGCTTTTCTTAACTGTTCCAAAAGCTGCAAATCCCTCAGGACTGCATACACACAGACCCACACAGTTCTGCATCTCTCCCACCCTCCAAGACACCAAGCAAGCTCCAGTCCCCAGGAGTTCTGCCAACTCAGGAGGGGAGGGTGTCTGGTATTTTGAGCACAGTTGAATGATTCAGAGTGAAGTAGCTGGGTGAGGCCCAGAGGGACGCTCGCCTCAGGCCTGTGTGTACACTGCCGTCGTGAGAAGTGAGAAGACAGACCGTCTTTCCCTCTGCAGATGAGGGCTGAGGGCCTGGCGTTTCCTGTGCTGTGGCCTGCTAGAAGCTTGGCCACAGATGGGGCTTGTTTATCTGTGGAGTTCATGTCTTTGTTTTCTTCTTTCCCTAAGACAAGAAGGAAAAAGAAACAAAAAGAAAAAGGTTTCCTATGGTCAGTAAGACCAGAAAGCCAGCAGGGGGAGAAGGAACTTCCCATAATTACCAAGAACGTAGCAGTCATTGCTCAGTTAACCCTCAACACCTCAGTTCTCTTTGGTGCCTCGTTGTTCTGTGCCCTCAGTAGCAGGGAGAGAGTGTCGTGGGCAGAGGTCGTCACTGCTGAGATGCAGAGATGACAGGCAGGAGGTCGGCACAGCTGTGGCAATAACTTAAGTGGCCCCTGAGCAGAGAACGCTGAAGCCCACTAGGGAGGGAAGAAGTGCATAGATGTGTGTTGCTTCTGAGAAAGGCTTCATGGAGGGGTTTAAAAATGAGCTATTGTAAAGATGAGGTGTGCGTTCGTAGATGGAGGGACAGCAAAGTAGATCTCCGCTGAGATCTGGTTCTACCAGGTAACTTAGTGGTTGGTTTCTTTCCTGGGGTACACCAGGCAGCACAGACATCGGGTGAGTCCATCGGCCACCCTTTAGTCTCCGTATCTTCCCCTCCTGTGATTGGACCAGAAGCACAGGGGAGGTACACTCCTCACCCTGTCACCGCAGCAAATTTATCCTTAGTTTCAGACATAATTGACTAGGGGTGGGAACCAGAATTGGTTCACTTGTAAAAACTCATAAATACGTATTTATTTAAACAGCCATATCTGTATATAATTTACATGGCCTTACAGTTTACCCATTTACAGTGTACAGTTTAACAGTTTTTAGTATATTCATAGAGTTGAGTGACCGCAGTCCAATTTTAGAACATTTTTATCACCCGGAAAGAAAGCTTGTGCCCATTGTGGTCTCTGCATGTTCTTCCCATTCTCCCAGCTCTCTGTCTCAGTAATAGAGTTCTTGTTGTTTTGGTTTTTCAAGACAGGGTTTCTCTGTTTCGTACTGGCCAGCCTGAAACTCTTATTTGTAGAGCAGGCTGGCCTTGACCGTAGAGATCCGCCTGCTTCTGCCTGCTGAGTGGTGGGATTAAAGGCATGGGTCCCAGTAACAGAGTTCTTATTGTGACCATTTCATAGAAAATGAGTCATATAGTATGTGGTACTTAGTGACCAACCTCTTTCGCTTAGCACAGTTTACAAAGCTTATCCATGTTGCAGCACATACGTAGCATGTAGCACTTTAGAAAGCTGGGTAATGCCCCGTTGAATTTGATGTGTTTATCTTAAGTCAGTGGGTGGACAGTTGGGTCATTCCTTCCTTTTGACTCTTTTGAGCAGTGCTGTTACAGATGTGTGTTTGTGCAGGTGTTTTCTGTATGTGTTTTTCACTTCTCTCGGGCATGTGTCTAGAGCGGGGGTCATACTCCTGGCTGGCCTTTGAGGGGCTGATTGTTCTCCAAGCAGCACTTTTCATTGCTGTCGGGGCATGTGGAGTACCTCGGGCCCCGCCTCCCGCCGCACTTGTTACCGGGTAGCTTTCTGTGTGCCACCATCCAGTTGAGCGCAACGTGGTTTCTTGCAGCAGTTTTGCCTCTTTGTTTCCCTCACAGCAGATATGCAGAGCCACTTTTCAGTGTTTGCTGCCTACTCGTGTGTCCTCTCTGAGAAGAGTCTCCGTGGATCTCTTAACTGGTCTTCTAATTGTTTCCCTAAATTGTAAGAATTCTTTATATTTGCTCTTACTGCTGGGATTTTGATGTTTCTCTTTCAGCAACTTTTAAGAAACTGTTGAGTATCCTAATCCTTTTGCTCTGACAGCAGAGTATAGGAAAAAGGAGAACATGTGCTTGCATGTGCCTTGATTCTAGACTTTCCCAGGAGGACATTTCCTCCAACTCTTAGGAACCTGTGTGTTTAATGAATGCTTCTGGTGGGCTGTCTGGTCAGACTGGGGTCATGCTGAACTTACCAGCACTGTTGTTTGAGGCCCTGCAGCCCACCTGAAGAATTGCTGCCTCAGGTCCCCAATGCCAGTATTTCTCTTACAGGAAATGGTAAGAAACAGCCTCATGAATCTTTCAGTGTTCACTGTGAGCGCCTCCCTGGTACCTTGTTTACGATTTGTCTCCTACTAAATATGTACAAATGTAGTTCTCTGCTAGGCAAGGGCTCTACCACCAAGCCACACCCCCAGCCTCCCTTCCTCTCTGATGCTTTCTTTAGGAATACTGAACATACTAGCATGCCTTTGTTCATCCTTTCATTTGACTGCAGTGTCCTAGTAACAGTGCCTGTATCTAATAGAGACTCAGGAAAGATTGTTAGTCAGCGCCCCACATGTCTGTGTCCTCTCTCTAACAATCGTGTGGGACGAAGTGGCTGTGTGCCTTACAACCTCCAGTCAGTTTGCAGCCAGACCTACCTTGCTGGGTTGTGCGTGTCTCTGTAGGCTGCTCCAGTCCTCTTGGGAAACTGACAGGCTATAAATAATATTTAAGCAGTTTTGATTACACATTTTTAATTTTAGTCTTCTTAGTCTCCAAAATTAAAATCCTGGCTTTTAAGAGGACAGAGTTTCTTTTTAAATGACTGTTTCCATTATTTTCTTTTAGGATAGAATTTTTGCGGCATTTGAAGAGCTTCTTCCAAGTTATGTTTAAAATTGAAACCAAGCCTTGTGGTGAAGAACTCAAGGGTGGGGACAAGGTGCTGATGACCTGCGTTGGTGTTGGCTTCTCTAATCTCAGCAAGACCCTCAAGTGATAGTGTCATACCATAAGGGTCCATTGTGTATGGATGAAGCAGAAGCTTCCAAGGACCAACGGGACCGACCAAGTCCAGATGTGTCCATCCAGGACAGGACAGCCTCTTAATATTAAGGACTTTATTAACTAATTTCCATTGAAAATACAAATGTGTAAATAAAAGTCATCTCTACCATGTGCCTTCCAGCTGTTTCTCCAGTGACAGTGACCTTCCTTGGAGGCCCAAACTGTGAGCTTCCCAACTCGTCTGGAGGAGGGGTCCTCAAGAAGTAGCCATGTTGCTAGAACAGTGTCCTGGTAGCACGTCTGTGCCTTTGCACTGTGGTTATATGCGGGGATTAATGTGGCTCTGTGTGTGTGTGTGTGTGTGTGTGTGTGTGTGTGTAAGCCCTCTGTTCATCATGACAAATTGAGAATGCCAGGGGCTGGGGCATTTGTTACATCTCTTGTTCATGAAGGAGTTATAGCATGGGCACGTACTATAACTTAATATAGTAAATAGTGTTTGTGAGGGACTGGTGGTTGGGATGGGGAGGGCAGTTATGGAGTGTCTTTAGTTCTCACAGCACTATGGTGTAAAATTTTTTTGATAAGAAAAATCACATGGATATTTTGTTTGTTTGATGTTTATAATGCAAAAATATTAGATTTCCTGGCTTAAAGATATAACAGAGTCTGGGATTTTACCTGCTTGTAAACTAATATTCCTGTTTCATGCATGCTAGCAAGAGTCCTAGCTATCAAAGTCCTGGCTCAGAGACACAGAGCTTTGTAGCATAGCAGGCAACATAAGCATATTTAAACTGATGTCTCCTACTGCCAAGTCCTGCTGTGAAAGCAAGGGCTCCGGTAGGTGCCATACAGTAAAATTTGCATCACAAGCAAGGAACATGGATGCTGAGAACACCTCCTTTTCATAGCATGTCTGTTCTTTGTTCCACTGGAAAGACTTTCACTTTAAGTGCTTACTACAAACACTGTTTTGAAAAAGGACTTAGCAATGGAAGAGAATGTACAGGGTCTCAGGATCATGGCAGATTCCCCTGCCAACCAATAGATTCTATATATGAATACAGGATATAGAACAAGCAGTGTTCTCCCTGCCGGGGCAGGTCTTGGGAATCATGGTGGCCTTTGCCTCACTCGTCTTCTTTGGAACCCTTTGCTTTAATGAAAGAACAGTGTCATTTGCTCTGGACGAGGTCCTGAGCCCAGAGCTTTCCACATAATAGTTGTGTTCTGTGGGTGCATACCAGTTTAAAACAGTACACACCATCCCAGAGTCGGTAAGTCAGAAGTGTGGCAGGGGTGGGTAGCGTCTCTACATGACATCTCACAAGGTTGCTCTCAAGGTGTCAGTCCCTCGGGCTCTCATTCGAAGGCTCTGGGGAAAATAAAGTGCAGATTTCAGGGTGTATGACTGAAGTCTGTTCTTTGCTGGTCGCTGCCAACAACTTAAACCTGTGGAGTCTGCCATCAGACCCTTTCACTTGGCCCCTGCATCTTCAAGCTAGCAGGGCCGTATCAAACTCTTGACATTTAAGCTGACTCTGACTTGACTTCCTCTTGGGACACTCGAGAGAAAACATTACTTTGAAACAGTCTGGTGTGGCAGTCCCTCCCACCTGGGCATTCCTCCTGCTTTACAGTTAGACACTTATGGCGCTATCTGAATTAGTGTTTGATTGCTCATTCTAGAATCTTGTCTGCCATATATTTGAGGCCTCTGTTGTTTTACATCAGACCTGCCCAGACAGAACTAAATGGCCCTGTTTCTTTGGACCTGCTGGGTTTTATCTGATAGGAGCCTCCTGTTCTATCATATATGTGCTTTGTAAATAATACTGTTGGCCAGTATCAGGGAGCAGGTAGGAGCCTGAGCTGATTGTCACAAGCAGCAGAGAGGACATGTCTGTCTGTCTGTCTGTCTGTAAACACAGGAGTGTCTGGTGAGTTCCAGTCCTCTGCCACAGCTGCTTCTGCAGGTGGAACATCTGGGAGCAGTGGTGAAGATAGCCCTGAAAACAAAGGGTGGGTGAGATTATTTTTTTGTTTTCCCCCCCATTTGGACAAGGTCTTAGTAAATAGTCCAGACTTGCAGTGTCTCAGTTTCCAAAGTACTATGATCACAAGACTACATCACCACAAATGCAGTATTTATTTAAACAACCATTCTTGATCCTTTTTCAGTTTCTCAAAAAAAAAAAAAAATCAAACCCATTCTGTAGGCAGGAGGCAGCTGCTGCTGGAGACCTTTGGGCTCCTGCAGTGCTCTGGTCTTGGCTCTGCTCCTTGGTCCAGCTACTCACAAGGGGGTGTTTAGTAAATGCTTAGTTCTGTGTTGGGAGTTCTGTTTGGGCAGATCTGATGTGGGAATTTGGCTTTCTGTCTTGGCCTATCCTGTTTTGGTTTAGTTGCCGTGATAAAACACCATGGCCAAAAGCAACTGGGGAGAAAGGGGTTTTTGTTTGTTTGTTTTTACTTACGTGGCCCAATCACACGAAGGACTTGCATCCATCATGAAGTCGGGGCAGGAATTCAAGCAGGAACCTGAAGGACAGATGATTGGCGAGTGGTGCTTACTGGCTTGCTCAGCCTGCTTCCTTTATAGGATTCTAAACCACCTGTCCCTGGGCGGTCCCTCTCACAGTGAACTGGACACTTTTCAATCATTAGTCTAGAAAATGCCCCCCAGACTTGCCTGCAGGCCAGCCTAAGAGATTTTCTCGCTGGGAGTTTCCTCTTAGATGACCCTGACCTTTGCAGATTGCAGAAGGTAGATGGGAAAACTAAAGTGCTGGAGAGATGGACTCTGGAGTTTTGGCAGTATATATATAGTAGGAGTGGCCTTATCCAGCCGTGAAGGGAGCAGGGTAGGCTGAGTAAGTGGATTTATTGGGCTTTAATCAAGGATGTGAGAAGAAGTAGAGTTGCCTGTGTTATAGACTTGTGTATTAGCTGTGTTTATAGTGGGTCTGAGGGATGGCGCCCAGCTCATGTCTCCTTTGTTTTTCGCCCATCCAAATAATGACAAGTAATCAGGACTTAGTGAGAGTTCCACATTTAGGTGACCCTCGCCTGTTCTACAGAAGTGACTAACAGTGGGGATGTCATAAGCAGGGAAGGGCCTTTATTTACTGTTGTTGGCCACAACTAAGAAGTCGTTTGAGAGGAATGGTTTATCAGTATTTGACATCTAACAGATCAAGCCACATCATTACTCAAGCAGAAGTTGTCATTTTGTCAGGGTGCTGGATGTAGGACTACTCTAGGTCCTTGTCATATTTGGCTTCTAGCTGTCTAGACGGTCTGACCCAACCTGGAGAACAGACAGGTCCTGATTGTACTTGGTTTGAAAACATCCTAGGTGATTCTGATGATTGTTCAGGACTGAACTTTATCCCTCTCCCCACAATCTTCAACCCTTTAAAGAACCTTGCATTTAAAAATTATTATGATTGAGGGGCTGGAGAGGTGGCTCAGTGGTTAAGGGTTGAATTCCTAGCACCCACATGGTTTCTCCTAACCATCTGAAACTCTAGTTCCGTGGGATCTGATGCCCCCTTCTGATCTCCAAAGGTGCTAGACATAGGCATACACACACACACACACACACACACATTTAAAAAAGTATTATGAATGACTGGATTGTTAGTTTTTCTCTGCTGCATTTTGGGGGAAATGATGTACTCAAACTTGACCAAGGTAGATAACTATGTTAAATACGAAGGTACTCGGCCTAACAATAGCACATGGTGATCTTACCTGTCTGTTCTCTTGAGTGCCAGATCACCAGGGCTAGGACAGAGAAACAGGGTGCCTACTGCTCTTCTTGGAGTAAGGGCGGTACTGTTTCCTGCTGCTGTGTCTGGGTGTGTCCCTCCATCCTGGAGGAATGTGAGAGTTCATGTATTTTGCAATGGCTGCTATGTGAAGGACTCCAATTTCAGTTATGACAAGCAACTTGAGGCTGTTTAGTTCCTGACTTCTTCCCCAGACACTTGTTTTCCTCTGTCTTGAGCTCTGTGGGTCACTGCTGTTTTACACTCTGGGCAATGAAGGCTTTGTGCCTAAGATTTATAAGCTATGAGAATGTTCGCAGGAAACCAGGGGGGAAATACTGGTGGCAGACTACAAAGAGCAAAAATATTTAAATGCCCAGAAAGCAAATTAAATACTTTTGGACTTAATTGTTAAAAGCCTTGGAAACCATGTGAGTGAGTGTTCACTGGGTTTGTAAGGACACTGGTTGTCAAGGAATTCAATGTCTGGCCACCAGTCAAGGAAATCTGCGAAGTCTTAGAGATTTGGAGTGAGTCTATACTTTAATGTGTTGTTTGATGGTGCTCAGAAGGCCTAGAAATTTAAGCCACATCCTTCCCCTTTGATTTTGACTAGTCACCTCATCGTTTTTAAGCCTGTTTTTAAAAGGTTGTTCTGAGTGAAGCCTTTTGCTTCCTGAGATTGGGCTGGCTCTCCATCCTTTGGACCCTTAGTTTCTTCTGGAACTTTGGAGCATCTATCTATCTCCCTCATCCCATACCAGTATTCAGAGCATTTATTGAGTAATATACTGAGATTGGGATTTCTTTCTTTCTTTCCTTTTTTTTTTTTTTTTTTTTTTTTGGCTGTTCGGTTCTTGGTGTAGATTCAATGTAGTTTTTCTTCATCTGGCAGGTTACTGTCAACATGAGTCATAGGCCTTATCTTTACATCTAGTCCTTGGATGTGTTCAGTTAACAGACCAGATACAAGCCATGGCACCTGCACGCAGCTTGGGGTCAGGCTGCCCCATGACAAGGTGACAGAATTTAAAAGGAGGCCTACAGGCATCCGGTGAAGTTCTCTGTGTTCTAGCCAGTGAGGGCAGAATGAATGCCCTGGCTGAGTCAGAACTGCCAGGCCCCAAGCACCCTGTTCAAGCTGCCAAATAGAGTTATTAGGAACAGCCATTCCCACCAGGAAAGAAAACAATGTCTTTGTAGTTCTGAGATGGCGTATGTCCGTATATTTTTTCTGTAGCCAGTCTGGTGCTGCATGGAACATGTAGAAAAAGACAAGTCCAAGTGTCAGGTTGGGTCTAATAGCTGAGGCCTATATTTGAGCAAGTTACAAAGTCCATTTGAGCCTCATTTTGCACATTAGGATAGGAACAAAACCTAGTTCTCCACTATGAAATGTAATGATGTCCAGGCATTCATATTTCATGACCCCTGCCTGGTACATACTAGGCATGATGAGTTAAGCTGGCACATACTGAGCATAATAAATTAAGCCGACTTCTTCATGGATGGTAGACTAGGCACTTGACTGTCTTGCATCCAGAAGCACCTTGACAGGACTATGGAAGTTAACTTGAGTTGTCAGACCTTGAAGTCAGATAGAATGCAGTCGCCAAAGAAATCAGCAAACTGAGTCAGACTTGTTAGTTCTACCTAAGAAATTCACCCATTTAGCTTCAGGAATAGCTGATTGCAGGATTCAAACATCTTCATAAGTCCCTCCCATTCTTAGCTTTCTTCACGGTTGCCTCCCTGTAGTGGAGTATTTGTGTACACTGTGTGAAGATGGATCACTGAGTGGTTTAATAAAGATTTGAATGACCAGGAGAGAATAGGCAGGACTTGCTGGCAGAGAGGAACTCCAGGTGAATCTAGGCATGCAAGAGATGCCAGAAATACTGAGGAAGTTGGACATATGGTATAGAGGAGAGGTAACCAAGCAGAGTGTAGACTAATAAAAGCAGGTTAAATTAAGTTGTGAGAGCTAGTTGGAGAAAAACCTAAGCTAAGGCCAAGCTTTCATAGTGAATATAAGTCTCTGTGTCCTTATTTGGGGCTGATGGCCAAAAAGAAAGTCCAACAACATTTGGTGCTTAATGGACAGAGAAGTTACAACAGCCAGCCAGAGTCGCTGTTGGCTGCTGCTCGGCTGGGATTCCAGAAAGCAGGGGAGGGTAAATGTAGCTCTGAGGTGGATGACCACCAGCATGAAGCTAGGCTCTCACAGAACCTGAGTGGGGGAGGTGGGGCGTGAGTCACCGGCACTACTCCAGGTTGTAGCCTAACAGTTTAAGATTTGTCTCCTGCCACCAGAGAACACTGCACGTGCAAGACTGCAGGCATGCAAAAAGTCAGGTCCAGACTTGGAAAAAAAACTCTAAGCAGGTTTAAAATGTTTCAAACTATGCTTAGGTACTAAAGAAAGAAAAGAAAATGAGTATAGATAGAAAGTAAAATAATGTAAAAAGAATAAGCCACATGAAAAAGGGAAAAACATAGGGCATCTGAATCCTGTATGGTGTTTGGTTGACTTTAAATTTTTTAAATGCTAACGAACAACAACTACAAATGACAGCTGCTGAGAGATACTGGATTGTAGAGAAAAAACAAAAACTACTGAATTAATCCAGCCTGTATGTTCTAAGGATTTCATAACTTTAGAGTGGAAGTCAGAAAATGTGTTGTGTTGGGGGAGAGGCTGTGATTTAGTTTCCACAGTAAACAAAAAGCTATGGATTTTTTTTCTGAAGTTAATAAAGACTGGATTTGACTGGGGGAGACCTCCTAAAAATCTTGGCTATAGACATAAAAGAAAAACTACAAGACAGATGATGTATAAGCTGATCCCTCTACATGGAACAGCTCTGAGACTGGGTGAGACATGATAACTCTTGTTGACTACAGAGTCCTCATGACTTATTATTATGGTCCTTTCATGTGACACAGATGGAGCTTTATATTTACAGTTTGGTTATGCAGTTCAAATTGACTTATAAAGTTAATAGATGCCTTTAACCTGCTAGTCACAGAGCAGAGAATCATCTTTAGCAGATTTGTGTACACTATACCTTCTATACTTGTGTTAATGAAGATATTTATGTTACCTTTAAAAGTTTGTGTGTTTTCAAGGGGAAAAAAGGACCAGAAACCATTAAAGGAAGCAAGTAGCCCATGTGATCGAGCCTCTCAGAATGCCTCTGTGCAGTTTTCTCAAAAATCTGCATCTAGAATAACTTCAAAGCTGCTAGCTGAGATGGTCCAGCCTCACAGACTACTCCAGCGAGGACTTCAGATAAGCCCTACACTTTCCCTTCACTGGATAACAGCTAGCTCTCTCAGGACTTGACCATTATCTCAATCTTCTTGGGTGCCCTAAAGGTGCTGTTGCCCCCAGACAATGGGAAACAGTCTAGAGAGCACAACACCCACATTCCCAAGAGGTGGGATAGGTGATTTTTGGTCATTCAGTGGATTATGGATGTTTGTCATTGTTTATGGGGGGTTTGCTTACAAATTATTACTGGTCATGGTCAGCAGAGGAGATTCCCATTCTGAAAAGAAAATAGGGATGGTAGGATAAAAGATAGATTGTTGAACCTGACTTTAAACTAAAAAAATTTTTAAATATTATACATTGGTATGGATTTTTGTATACTGACACAAATTTAAGATTATTTTTGTTATACTGTATATATGTTTCTACTCTTGTTTGAGGTATTGTACCTATGCAGCTCATTTGATAATGTAATGTAAATTTCTATTCCTTGAAAGTTATTATCACAAAGTATTTAGGATAATTAAGAAATAATAATAATACTTAGTTATCTAACAGTCAAATTTGTGGCCATGTTAGGTGTGTTTTCAAGGTTAAACAGAAATATATTTTAGATACATAAGTGACCCTCAAACACTTCAAAGATCTACATATATGGCATTTAAGATGTTTTTAATAACATAAGGCTTTTCATGACAGCGAAATACATCTGCTCCTGGAAGCACCAATTTACTTCAAAAACGAATAATGGGCATTGAAGAAGCTCCATATGGAGTTACTTTCATTGTGGCAAAGTTAGTTACTTGGCAAGAAACTGCCCTTACCTCAACTGCTAACAGTATGTTGTCCAAATTGGACAAGCAGGACACAAAAGAAAACAACTTCTGAACTTTGCCAAGACAGGTAGGCCAGTCCTTCAAAATTCCTGCTTCACAGAAGTGTCTGTCAGATATTCTAAGCCTTTAGGCTGAAGATGTATGCCCCGATATTGCAGCTGAACTAACCAGGTAGTCAGATGGCTGTCTGTTGTTTCTATAGTTTTGAGAGTTTCTTGCTCTACACTTCCTGTTTACTCAGGTAATATATCCTTTTTGGGTCTCTAAATAGTTTGAAGAATAGATAGCTATAGTTTTACAGCTTTTCTTGTTACCATTTTTTTAAAAAAAACTTACAAAAGAGATGTAAAATGTATAAAGTTGAGAGACATAAAAGCTTAAGTTGTTTAACCTAAGGAAATATTTTAAGGTCTAAAAACATTTTAAGTTAATAACACAAGTAATGACAAAAAAGTAAATTGGGTACAAAACTTTGAACTCACCAAGATAGGATAGATAATAGAGTATTTTATCTGAATTTGCCAAATGGAAATGAGCTAAACATTGTGAATGTAATTCTTACCTGATAATCGTTCTTATTATGAATAGTTTTACTGTTAAACCCTTTTCTTTTTATTTAGACAAAAGGGGGAAATGTTGTAGAATATTAGTTTACACTGTATCACTGTGATTGGCCTAATAAAGACCTAAATAGCCAATAGCTAAGTAGGAGAAAATGGGCAGGACTTGTAAACAGAGAGAGGAACTTGAGATGAATCTAGATACCAGCGAGGTTGGACATACAGCACAGAGGAGAGGTACAGAGGAGAGGTAACTGAACCATGTGACAGAATGTAGGTTACTTTAAGAAAAAAAGCAAAACAGGTTAATTTAAATTTTAAGAGGTAGCTGGGTAAAAGCCTAAGCTAAGGCCAAGCTTGAAAAGAAAGTCCAACTACATCTTCCTTCTCTGGAGACATTGCCTTTGTATTCTGTTGTCTAGCTGAAGTTTGTTTGGTTTTAATTCCCTTAGAATTGCATTTCCAGTTGCTGACTAGTGCATTCTTGGGACTATTTCTGGGTCCTGTTCTCTCTGGATGGTAATGCTACTCTCTCCCAGTTTGTGTGCATCAATGAAATGGAGGAGATTATTCCCAAGGGAAGACTGCAGTGCTTTTACAAAAAGAAATGGACCCTGGGGAGGCAGAAGCAAGTTGTCTGTTGTAATCTGTATTGCCAAACCCCTCAACATTCTCAGAAAGATACTCTACAATACTTCTTGCTGATGACTGTTTTCCTCATCCAGAATCTTCCAGAACTATAATAGGGAATAATTAGTTGGATAAAATGCCACTAGTTTAACAACTTACAATCACCAAAAAGATTATATCCAGAAGGTCAATGCCCAGATGCATATTGCCTAAATTTTGTGACCATTGTAACCAGTAGTATTCTTTGTCTAGAAAGAAGAGCAGCCATGTGGATGATGACCTACGTGAAGAAGTGGCCATGACCAAGATGTGGGAGCATCATGTGGAATGTGGACCAGGAGGAAGCAGAACCTGACTGGAGGAAGAGAGCATCCTCATACAGATGTCAGCTGATGCTTTCCATGGTGGCTCTCCCTTTCTCAACTTCAGGAAAACAATTTATGAGTGGGAGAGGTGGCAGAGGAAGGTGCCCTACAGACTTATTACCTACAGCTGAATCTTATGAAAGCCTATTCTCAATTGAAGTTCCTTCCTTCCAGGCAGTAGGGTATTTTCTTAATTAGTGATTGGTGGGGGAGGGTCCAGCCCATTGTGGGTGGGGTCATCCCTGGGCTGGTGGTTCTGGGTTCTGTAAGAAAGTAGACTGAGCAAGCCAATGAGCAGCACCCTCCCATGACCCGTCTCCAGGTTCAAACCCTATTTGGGCTCCTGTCCTGGTTTCCTGCAACGATGGATTACAATGTGCAAGTCTAAGCCAAATAAACCCTTTTGTCTACAGCTTGGTTTTGCTTGTGGTGTTTCATCACAGCATTAGAAACAATAACTAGACAATGTCACATAATGGTTTATTCTGAAGGGGGAATTTAGGGGTTCCTGGCACAGCAATATTTTTTAGGAAAATAAATAATCTTACATTTTATTGTTTTGTTTTTGAGACAAGTTCTTACTACGAAGCCCAGGCTGGCCTTGAACTCACGATCTTCACCCTTCAGATTCCCTTAGTGCTACAGGTAAGCCTCACAATGGGTGTAAACTCTCACGTTCTTGAGAAGCTGAGTAATGCGAGGGACTTAGGGTGAAAAAGCCAGGCTTTATCCCCACCTTACCTATAACATGGACAATCCACATTGAGTTTCAAATCAGTGGCTGCCCACCACGTCAGGCCCCAAGCCACATCCCCTTGTCTGGGCTTTTAGGAAATTCAGATGGGTGGGTAGGTTGGGACTCTTACAGTTATGTGATTATTTTCTGAGAGTCACATCGACTATTCTCCTCAATCCCAGTGGTTCAGTGTGCCCTTGGAGCCCACTTTGTGTCCTCGACAAGACGAGGTCAGAAGAAAATACTTGGGGAAAGGGATCCTGGAGGAATGGAGGCCCCCTGTACTTCTATGGTTGACTTGGTCACATCTGAGCTTTCAAATGCCTGAGTTTTAGAGAAGTCTGACTCGAGTGCTCCATGTTAGCATGTCAGTGAGATACAAAGCTGGACATGCCAGGCAAGTACAAGTGCCCTAGCACTGAACTATATCACCAGTCATGTGTGTGTGTGTGTGTGTGTGTGTGTGTGTGTGTGTGTGTGTGTGTGTGTGCATTAGAGAGGGGGGTGGGGCTCCTTAAGCCCAGGCTGTCTCCGAGTCTACTCTAACCCTGGAAGGCTCTGGACTTACCTCAGCAGCCCAAGTAGTTGGGATGACAGATCTGCACCAGCACGCCTGGCGAAGATGTGGCTTTTCAGGACAAGGAACCTAGTTTCTGGGAAGTGGAAAGAGCGCTTGGGCCTTGTGAGTAGGGTTTCTGGAAAAATGCTCTCGTATGTAAAACAAGCTCTTGTGAATGCTTCTAGCCTATTCTCTGGATGGGCTCTCCAGAAGAGAGCCTGGGTGGTTACTCTGACTTTTCTAAAGTGGGGAGTTCTCCTGGGTGCTTTCTCCAACAGTTGCTCCTGTATGTGTGTACACTCTTGGAGCGCTTTCCTGCCTGAGTGGGTGCTATTTTCAGTCCTGAATTTTGTCTGTTGTACGTGTAGAATTCAACCAGCCTCTGTACAATCCAGGCGAGGATAACTTAAGCACCGAGTGCCCTTCCCATTTTATCTGAGAAGAAAGAAAACACATGACAAAAGCCCTCAGATGGAAGGGGTGGGGTAACAGGAATCCTCCTTGTATTATTATTAAAGTAGCTTTGGCAAAAGGAGGGGGACACAGGCAAACAGGACCCGTAAACCGCTACGACTTGTCCATTCTGTTTGCTAGCTTTCTGTGTGCCAGAGTGCAGGATAGGCCATGTACATTTTGTGGAATTTTCCATCCAAATGCTGAGAACCACTGAGAACACTAACACATCCATGTTAGAGTATTACCCAGCCAGGCATGGTGGTTTATGCCTGAACCAGGGGGATTGCAAACTGAAGGCCAGCCTGGGTGTGATAGTTTGAATGTAAGTGGACCCCACAGAGAGTGACACTATTAGGAGGTGTGGCTTTGTTGGAGTAGGTATGGCCTTTTTGGAGGAAATGTGTCACTGTGAGGGTGGACTTTGAGGTCTATGCTCAGGACACCACCTGTGTCTCAGCTGACTTCTCACTGCCTGCAAGATGTAGGGCTCTCAGCTACCACTCCAACACCATGTCTGCCTATATGAGGCCATGCTCGATGCCATGATAATAACTGGCTAAACCTCTAAAGCTGTAAGCCATCTCAATTAAGTGTTTCCCTTTATAAGAGTTGCCATGATCATCGTGTCTCTTTACAGCAGTAGGAACCCTAACTAACATACAGGGCTATCATAACAACACTGAAAAAAATGCAAAAACAACCCGCAGATAAAGTACTATGGAACTACTCTTCTCTCATCAAGTGTTTTCTTGGGCAGTGGATTCTCTCAGGTGAAAACAAGTCTGAATTGGGGGAGCTCACAAGAGGTGCTCTTGCATGCTTGAAAAGGTTGGAGCAAGTGCTGTGAGATGATTGTCTCTCAGGTGCTGCTTCAGTTAAGCTGCACCCTCCTCCGTGGAGTCCTTTTCTCCTCAGAGCAGCTGCCTGCCAGTGTGTCTCTTGTCTGTTTTGACTGGCATGTGTCACTGCCTTCGAGATGTCATCATCATAGACATGGGCTCGCTCCTAAGCTGTGGTTTAGAAAAGCTAGGAGGCTCTACGTTGCACAGCCCATAGTGAAGCCAGAGCATGAACCCCTGAGAGAGATCCGGGAGTCCTGACTCAGGGCATGGGTGTCACCAGCAGGTGGTACCTTGGTGCCTTTTCTGATGACTATTCTCTCAGTGCCTGTCTGTTTACAGATGAGAGGATGAACACTGAAAGAAGGGTAGGAAGGCAGCCACCTAGTTTTTCCTGTTCTTAAAAGAAAACTAAAGCCCTGTAGTTCACGGTACTGTTTGGGTTTTGTCATCTGGGAAGAGGAAACCTCAGGAAAGGAACTGCCTCCATCAGATCATCCTGTGGCCATGTCTGTGGGGGCATTCTCTTGACTAGTGATAGATGTGGGTTGGCCCAGCCCCCCAGGAATAGTGCCACCCCTGGGCAGGTGGGCCTGTGGCACATGCCTTTAACCCCAGCATTAGGGAGGCAGAAGCACACAGATCAGTTCAAGGCCAGTCGAGTCTACAGAGCAAGTTTCAGGACAGCCAGAACTACATAGAGAGACCCTGTCTCCCCCCACATCCCTTACAGAAAAGCAGGCTGAGCAGACCCTGTCTCCCCCCACATCCCTTACAGAAAAGCATCCTCTAGGGCCCCTGCCTCTGCTCCTGCCCTACTTTTCCTTAGTGATGAACGAGATGTGGAAATATAAGCAAAATAAACCCTTTCCCACCAAGTTGCTTCTGGTCATGGTGTATTTCACAGAAGGGTAAACTGGTTATCTTTTGTTACCTAAACCTATGAAAACTATACTCAGGTTTAAAATTAGTCAGTGTAGTTTCTTCATTTACTTTTTGTGTAAGCGACTGGAAACAATTCAGACAGGCTCCAGCCAAGTGGGCTTGTGTGAGGCATTCTGTTCAGTCCATCTAAATCATGATCTGTAAGAATGTGAGACTGTGGGAGACCAGCTGGGGCCAGGTGAGGTGCTCTGGTCCCCTGTGCCCATCTCTCAGAGCAGAGTTTGTTTCTTCCTGGAGCTCTCATGGGGAATTATGCAATCCAGAAGGGGGTAATGGCATGCTTATCTCTTTAACTCTCAGGGTCTAGAGCAGTGAAAGTGTACTTGAGGGTGTTCCAGCTTCAAGATTGTTTCATTTAATTTAACTTTTGATTATTTTTAAATTAGGATATAGAGTAGTGGGTTTCATTGTGACATCTTAAATGCACTTTATCTGTCCCCACCCCTGTTCTCCTAGCCTCCTTTCTCATAGACTTCCTGCCCCCATTCCTGCTTTTTTTTGTCACATATATTCCATTACCTACTATCGTTTGGTGTGTTCCCCCAGATTTTTTGTCCCCTCCCATAGTCCCCTTCCTAGTTTTATGACTTATCCTCCTTCTGTACACACACACAGAAATGGAACCTTGGGTTCTACATCTGGAGAAAGCAAGAAGTATGTGTCTTTCTAAGTCTGGGTTATTTCACTTAATATAATAATATCCAAGGCAGAGCAATGGTGGTGCATGCCTTTAATCCCAGCACTCGGGAGGCAGAGGCAGGCGGATCTCTGTGAGTTCGAGGCCAGGCTGGACCGACAGCCTCCAAAACAATACAGAGAAACCCTGTCTTGTAAAAACCAAAAAAAAAAAAAAAAAAAAAAAAAAAAAAGAAATAGAGGAGAAATCATTGCACAGAAGGTGCTTAGGTGAGATGCAAACACAGCAACAGGATAATTAGTCATTAAAATACGATAAGACTAAATGAAATAGAAACCCTATAGGCTTAGTCATATTCCTTTCTAGTTGGGATGGCGTGGTTGACCTTGCCCGGCTTATCTTTTATGTCAGTCTCAGGAGGTGAGGGAAGGGCTGCTTGTCTCGTGTGTCTTTCCTGATGACAGGAATTCTCATTTCTTTGCAAGTGTGCATCTTACATGTTTGGACCGTGGGTGGGGTATGCATGCGTGTGCTTGTCTATATGGATGCCTGACGGTAGCATCACGTGTGTTCCTGTACTGCACTCCACCTTATTTTCGGAGACTGGGTGTCTCAGTTACTTTTCTGTTGCTGTGACGACATACCCTGATGTAGGCAACTTAAAGAAGAGTGTACTGGGAACTTACAGCTTTAAACGGTGAGAGTCCGTGGTCATCGTGACAAGGAGCATGGCACTGAAGCAGTGTCTGGGAGATTGTGCTTTGATCCCAAGCACAAGGCGTAGAGAATGCCCTGGGAATGGCTTGGACTTTGAAACCTCAAAGTCTGCCCCCAGTGACACTTCCTCCAAGGCTACACCTCCCAATCCTTCCCAAACAGTTCACTGTCTGGGGACCTAGTATTCAAATATGTGAGCCTATTAGTGTGGTGGTTTGAATGAGAATGGCCCCCATAGACTCATCTGTTTGACTGCTTAGGGGGGGGTGACAGTAGGAAGTATGGCCTTGTTGGAGGAAGTGTGTCATTTGGGGTGGGCTTTGGGGTTAGAATGTCCAAGCTAGGCCCAGTGGCCGATCGATCCAGATGTAGAACTCTATGCCTCCAGTACCCTGTCTGCCTCTGTGCCGCCATGCTTCCCGCCATGACAATAATGGACTAGACCTCTGAAGGTCATTGTGTCTCTTCACAGCAATAGAAACCCTAACTAAGACAGAGGGCCATTCTCATTCTCAAGCCACCA